GTGTGTGTGTGTGACAGGGTGCTGGTGTGTTTGTAGGGGAGTGAGGTGTGTTTGGGTGGTGTGTGTGTGTGATAGGGTGATGGTGTATTTGTAGGGGGAGTGAGGTGTGTTTGGGTGGTGTGTGCGTGTGTGTGTGTGTGTGTGAGAGACAGGGTGATGGTGTGTTTGTAGGGGAGTGAGGTGTGTTTGGGTGGTGTGTGTGTGAGACAGAGTGATGGTGTGTTTGTAGGGGAGTGAGGTGTATTTGGGTGGTGTGTGTGTGAGACAGGGTGATGGTGTGTTTGTAGGGGAGTGAGGTGTGTTTGGGTGGTGTGTGTGTGTGTGAGACAGGGTGATGGTGTGTTTGTAGGGGAGTGAGGTGTGTTTGGGTGGTGTGTGTGAGGATGGTGTTGTGTGGAGGCTGGTGGAATGTGTGGGGGTCGGTGTGTGTGGGGTGCTATGTACAGAATGGCATGTGTTTGTGCGGAGGGAGTTATTTGTGGCAGAGGTTGCTGTGTGTGTGTGGGTGGGTGGGTGGTGTGTATTTGGCTAGGGTGAGGTGTACTGTACACCTTTTGGCACAGTTGCCTGCCTGTGTATTGACATAAACCCGGGGTTAGGAGAGCACTCAGGGGACAGGGAGCTGAGGAGATAGGCAGCTCCCACACAGCTACAACTGGGGAGCAACTTTTACCCAGGTAACATTTTCCCACTTGAACAAAGGTGTAGCCATGTCAGGGCAATGTCACACGGGGGGTGGGGAGTTCGACTCCCTGAGGGTGCTTTTTATTAAATGGGACAGACAAGGGTCCTGTCGCTGAGCTCTCACCTCCGCCCTCTTGCCAGTCCCATTCCCCTGCCAGCCCCTACAATCAGGGAAGGTTGGGGGGGTCGCCAAAGGGCTGTGTTTTGATTGACAGCGTTGGCCGCTACTTAACCACAGAGGAAGAGCATTCAGACTGAGCCCAATCGGAGTGAGAGCAGAGGGCGGGATTTAAACAGTGAGAGACAGGGGTGAGTGTGAGGCAGAGACACACACACAGAGGCTGTGCACTGGAGAGGGTCAGGGAGGCACAAACAGCAACAGTTCATCCCCTCCCTTCATTCTCCTTCTCACACCTTCCCCCGTCCCTACCCCAGGGGGTGCCCCCTTCTCTGTGTGCGGAGGGGTTTTTCTTGCTGTTTGTTGGGACTGCACTGAGGAGGGAATGTTGCAGCATCGATCGAGGACGGCAGCGACGGAGAGGCTGTGCCCCGGTTCCCCGTGAGATCCGCGGCGTTCGAGCTTCAGGGAGGCGGGGGGTTCGGGGGAGCTGCGATCAGCCACTGGACAGGGAGAAAGGAATAAAAAGGGGGAGAAGGAGGAGAGAGGGGTAAAGGGAGAGAGAAAGGAGGAGACAGGAGGAAAGGGAGAGAGAGAGGAGGAGACAGGGGGAAAGGGAGAGAGAGAGGAGGAGAGGGAGAAGAGAGGAGGAGACGGGGGAGAGAGAGGGAGAGAGAGGAGGAGACGGGGAAAGGGAGAGAGAAGGGGAGGGGGAGAGAGAAGGACGAGACGGGGTAAAGTGAGAGGGAGGAGAGAGGAGGAGACGGGGGAAAGAGAGAGGAGAGAGGGAGTGGAAGTGACAGGGGGAAAGCAAGAGAGAGAGAGGAGGACACGGGGAAAGGGAGAGGGAGAGAGAGGAGGAGAGCGGGGAGAGGCAGAGAGAGAAGGAGAAAGAGGGGAAGGAGGAGAGACGGAAAGAGGGGGAGGGAGAAAGAGAGAGAGAAAAGGAGAGACAGCAGGAGAGGGGGAGGCAGAGAAGGAGGGGAGAGAGAGAGGAGGAGAAAGAGGGGAGGAGGAGAGAGGAGCCTCTCTGCCGCTGAGTGGCTGTAAAAGACCGGAGTGCGGAGGGGAGAGAGTGATGGAGGTGGGCAGCGCTTCACCATCGAGGTGAGAGCAATCGGGAACTGAAGGAAACAGTCGCTGGTAAAATCAGAAATTTCGAGGCAAGAGCGGCACCAGACGCCAGCCCCGGCTCCAGCTGGTTTTGAGAATGCGTTAGGGAGGCTGCAAACATTTCCTCTCTTTCTCTCTCTCTCATTGTTGGTGCGGAAGAGACTTGAGAACAAAGAGAGAGCCAAAAACAGAATCTTATCCCGGAAAAAAAAACGGGGAGAGAGAGCTCGGAGGGGCAGCTCCGGATGGGAGCCGGACTGAGGGAGATTTGAAAAGCGGAGTGTGGAGAGGCTGTCTGCCTTTACCTTGGCCAGGACACGATGTGAGACCCATCTGCTTTCAGGAAGCCAGCAGGTTGGTGCAAAGATGCGAGGAGCCAGCCTGAGCATCTGATGGGAATTAGTTTCCATTTTCCACAGTGAGCGGAAGCCGGGGAAAGATGAAAGTGCTCCGCAGGAAGGCAGCTCTGCTGGTCCTGGGCTACATCCTACTCCTGGTGTTGACCATGTTACACTTTACCGATTATAAAGGGGCCAAGGAGTGCACCCAGGTGAAGTATGTACCGTACCCTCTCCGTTACACAGTGGAACACCAGCGGCCCTCACCCCCCCAGAACAGCTCCAACAGGCGCCAACATGTCTATGTCTTCACAACATGGCGATCAGGCTCTTCCTTCGTGGGGGAGCTCTTCAACCAGAACCCCGATGTCTTCTTCCTCTACGAGCCCATGTGGCACATCTGGCAGAAGCTGTACCCAGGAGATGCCCTCACTCTGCAAGGGGCGGCCCGTGACATGCTGGGCTTTCTCTACCGCTGCGACCTCTCCATCTTCCAGCTCTACAACGGGGGCAACAACCTCACCAGCATGGGCATCTTTGGGGCGCCCCGCAACAAGGTGGTCTGCTCCTACCCGCTCTGCAAGGCGTACAGGAAGGACAAGGTGGGCCTCATCGACGAGCACGTGTGCAAGAACGAGTGCCCACCTCAGCACCTGGACTCCCTGGAAGCCGAGTGCCACAAGTACAGCACCATCGTCATCAAGGGCGTTCGCATTTTTGACCTGAATGTCTTGGCCCCTCTGATGAAAGACCCCTTCGTCGACCTCAAGGTGATCCACCTGGTCAGGGATCCCAGGGCTGTGGCCAGCTCCCGGATCAAGTCAAGGAACGGCCTGATCCGGGAAAGCCTGCAGGTGATGCGCAGTAAGGATCCCAAGGGGCGTCGTTTGAAGGTGTACGATGGGTACCAGAGGACCAGGCGGGATGCAGTGGATTATCACGCTCTCAATGCCCTGGAGGTGATCTGCACCAGCATGGTCAGGACTGTTCAGATGGTGAGGGAGCCACCAGACTGGCTGAAGGACAATTACAGGGTAGTGCGTTATGAAGACCTGGTGGAAGACCCCATCAGGTACCTCAAGGACATGTATCACTTTGTTAACCTGTCAGTCAGTGAGGACATTGAGAGGTTCATGCTCAACATGACCATGGGGTCCAGTTACTCCTCCAAAAAGCCCTTCAGTGTTTCTTCCCGAAACGCCACCCAGGCTGCCAATGCGTGGCGGACCCAGATGACGTACTCCCAAATCAAACAAGTGGAGGAATACTGCCAACAGGCCATGGATTGGCTGGGCTATGAGAAAGTCCAAACACCAGAGGAAGTCAAGGATTTCAGCAAGTCATTTGTAACCAAAATCCGGCTTTGAACAAAAATGCAGAAGGGCTCCAGAAATTCATTCCATCAAAACCCACATCCAAGAGAAGCCCAGGCACAGATCCCAACCTGTGTACTTTCTGAATATCCTTGGATTCAGGTCTGGGAAAAAAAAAACAAGACAAGTGCTTGAGAGGATTTTTATATTGTGTGGAGTGCTTGGGTACACTCAGAGCTGCACCCACATACCTCACAGTCACACAGACACCCTTGCACAGTGACATTCTCACACTGACATGTCTCTCATGCACTGGTACACGTTACATTCTCATACAAAAGCTGCCATTAACAGACGCCCGCACATTCACACAGGCACACAGAAACAGACATACCTACTCTCACACATTCACACCAACATTCATGATAACATAGGCACAGCCTTCATCCCATTTACTCAAACACATTTACAAACAACTTCTCACTAACTCAGTTGCACACATAACTGATAACACTGAAAAGCTGGTGATGCATGAGTCACTTAATAATTTTAAGGGGTCTTTTCCTCACCAGATGTTGACAAAGGTGCAACGTGTTGAGTTGGCTATTGGAAATACTTGATCATTTGGATTTAAAGTTGTTATTGTACATTGGTCTTTGAACATATATATATTGTTCTTTTTAGTTGTCTGGTTGAATGAGTAAATTGATAATTTATCATTTAAAGAAGTATTCTATTATATTGATGGCATGCGGCAGTAGAATTGTGACTACAGTACTTTACTGCCAAAGAACACCTCACCTCTGAATCCTTTCTATCTGTTTGTGCTTGATTGTTCATTCCAGATAAGCCGGTTCATATTCCCTTCCCCAAGATTGTGTGGAACAAACAAGAGTAGTCTGTGCAAAATAAACCTTTTTGACCCACATTTTCATTATTAATGTTATGTCATAGCTGAGAGTGAGTGCAGACAAGTACAAGAATCTACAAAAAAAGACATTAAATGAAAGAAAACTAACTGAAACCTTGCCAAGATCAAAACTGACATAGCACATGATTTGTTGCAAGACGCCATGTTTAATGCATTATTGTATATTATCTGGAGTCTCTGTGAGGCTACTGACAAAATGTTACAACGTACAGTATTTATGAGGAAAGGAAATACATTGAGCAGCAACATACCCAGAGACTAACTTTCTGCTTTAATTAAAGGCTAAGGCGAAACAATGCAAAACCATCTCCTTGAAGGAGTCTTGTAATTATCTCACTGATGCCAACGCTATAGTATGCAGTTCTCCAGTGCATGAACTCTGGAAGTCATTTCCGTAATTTTATTTTTAAAATGCCTTCAAGTCAGTCTCAGGCTATTTCCATTGAAGGCCAGCAGCAGATTATTAAAATGGGATAAACTTACTGTAGAATGAGTGATGCTTTTGTACTGGTGACAATGCTGGTGGTACACCACAAAGCAGATTCTAAGAGGTCCCTTTATTGTGAAGTTGAGATCCTGGGAGAGACTGTTAAAATAGAGACATGACTTTCAGCTTCAGCTTTCTGTTCTCAGGAGTTTACCCATTAGTTAACACTTCTCCAAACTAAGGCCTGTTTTAATGTAGTCTCACGGTTTGTGCACAGGCAAATGGCGATGGGTTAATACCGGTAATACCTAGAGATTATAGCAGTGGAAAAAATAACTTAAAGAAATTTTAAATCCAAGTAATCGATTTGGAGTGACAGTGTATAAATTTCAGAGTCTGGGAATCAACACGGAGCTGATCTGCCTTGCTTTATAAAAGAATTATGACAACAAATTGAACCAATTCTGTGCATTCAGATGGTTGGAGTAAGAGGTGCCAAATATATTTTAAAAAATGGTCCATCTGAAGTCATTGGAACTCTGGATATTGCCTCCTGCTGTCGGCACAAGAACTGTGTACCTACTGTTGATGACATGTCCTCAAGGTAAAAATGACTTCATAATGCTTTGGATTCAGAACAGAAGCTGTATGTTATGAAAATTGCCTCATCCCTCAGATTGAAGTTGAAATTGTATTGAACAGTTATCAGACAGTCACGGTAGTCAGGCAGTTGATGTCTCCCTCTCTCCTTAGCTGCTTTTATTGCAAGTGGAAGCTCCAAATGTTGCAGCAGGGTCTGGCACTTTGGACAGCGGAATGATCTTTCATGTTGAACCATAGAACTGTTACAGCACAGAAAGGGACCATCCTGTTAAACCTGGCCCCTGTAGTAATTGATCTTTCTGCAATAGGGTTAGTAGAAACAGGTCTTCCCTAAAAAAACAAGGAAATACAAAAGAAAAAAAATGCACTGTTAGCTGAGATAATAGGAACTGCAGATGCTGGAGAATCTGAGATAACAAGGTGTAGAGCTGGATGAACACAGCAGGCCAAGCAGCATCAGAGGAGCAGGAAAGCTGACGTTTTGGGCCTAGACCCTTCATCAGAAATGTTAGCTGACTCCTGTTACTGAATGAGCTATTGTGACTGCATTTCTGTGCATCACACCTCCCAGACTGGGCTATTCACCACTGCAGTGTATGGTCCTTCTCTGAGTCAATCAAATGGTCCAAACTGAATTAGGAGGGAATGTAAAACAAACACAGAGAATGCTGAAGAACCTCAGCAGGTCTGGCAGCATCTGTGGAGAGAGAAATGGAGTTAACGTTTCAAGTCTGGTATGACCTCTTCCAAACATATCAGACTTGAAACTTTAGCTCCGTTTCTCTCTCCACTGAAGCTGCCAGACCTGCTGAGGTTCTCCAGCAATTTTTGTTGCTTTTTTGTTACAGATCTCCAACATCTGCAGTAATTTGCTTTTATTGGAGGAGGAACCCTGAAATGATGTAATTTCTTTAACTAACAGTTAACGATTTATTGAAAATCAGTAAAAGCAAATTGACTGCTGCACCACTATTTTATTTTCATTGATTGCAACAGCTGAGACATTACTTGCTTTTCATCAATTAGAAATAAAATGATCGGAGATAAGCAAGCACTGAACGTTGCTTTGCTGTTCACGTGGATCTCTACCAGCTCTTGTTCCATTGAAATGAGTGGGCAGTGTAACTTTAGCTTCTTATGTAAAACACCCAGTATGAAACAAGTGTAAGAAGACCTATATTCAGAATATGGAATAACACTGTCTGGAAGGTGCTAAACAACACAGTGGTTTACATTGTTATTTGGCTTGTCACTTGGGGATTTTCCTGGGAAGGTTAATCAGTAACTGTTGAGAAAGTTTGCAATGTAGATTAATAGAATGTAGACCTGTGCCTGAAATAGCCCATACAGAGAGCTGCTAACTTCAATTCTATCGCAATGGGAAGTTATAAAATGAAGGTGAGCTAGCATTCCCCAAAGAAGGGGAAAATCCATGGGACCAATGATTTGTTTTTAATAGGACCCTCTCCCACTTTTTGCACTTAAATTCCCGTTCACCTTTTGTAAGACAATGAGACACAGCAGCTTTTAACTTTAGGGCGGAACAAAATAGACTGTCAGTGGGAGCTGACTGAACAGCACATCAGCTGAGGGGCACAGGTGGCAGGCCGCAAATGCCCCCCAGCCCTTTTCACACTGCTTTGGAGTATGCTGTTTTATTGTGCATGTATACAAACTTGAGTTCATGCCTCTTTTCATTTTTGCTGGCAAAGGTTTTATGGGGGAAAGCAATAGATGTCAGTTTACATTGATTGTATGCAGTGATTTTGTGCAATGTGAATTGATGAACAAGTGATGCTGGGATTTATTTTGCTGATATAAAGGAAAAAAAAATGTAATAATAGATTACCTGTTCAAACATGTATTTATTGCACCTCATTTTGTAACAATATTAAAGGAAATGTTGCAAACTATCAGTTGTAGAATTGTTTAACGATAAATTCCTCAAAATTTGCAACACTTTTAAGCAGTTTTGTATTGTATCATAACCCACATATTTCTGCCAATGCAGTTTACCTTACGTAACACAGATGGAATTTGATACACGCCTGTCAAGTATGTGACAGATTATAACAAAGTAAATAATTTGAGGTGGCCTTTGAATGTTTTGTTTCTTTGAAAATTTGTAGGATCATGTTCTATCTAAAAAATATTCCACACCAAGTTTTGTACTACACAGCTATTCAGTGGAAACATTTCCATATTACTGTCTTGCAGAACTATTGTTAATTATTTGGATGTGAACATAAGAGGTATGGTTAGTAAGTTTGCAGATGATGATAAAATTGGAGGTGCAGTGGCCAGCAAAGAAGGTTACCTCAGAGTACAATGGGATCTTGATCAGATGGGCCAATGGGTCGAAGAGTGACAGATGGAGTTTATTTTAGATAAATGTGAGGTGCTGCATTTAGGAAAAGCAAATCAGGGCAGGACTTACACACTTAGTGGTAAGGTCCTGGGGAATGTTGCTGAACAGAGACCTTGGGGTGCAGGTTCATAGTTCCTTGAAAGTAGAGTTGCAGGTAGAGAGGGTGGTGAAGAAGGCATTTGGTATGCTCGCCTTTATTGGTCAGTGCTTTGAGTATAGGAGTTGGGAGGGTTATGTTGAGGGTGTACTGGACATTGGTTAGGCCACTTTTCGAATACTGTATGCAATTCTGGTCTCCCTGCTATGGGAAGGATTTTGTGAAACTTGAAATGGTTCAGAAAAGATTTACCAGGAAGTTGCCAGGGTTGGAGGGTTTAAGCTACAGGGAGAGGCTGAATAGGCTGGAGCTATTTTCCCTGGAGCATTGGAGGCTGAGGGGTGACATTATAAAGGTTTATAAACTCATGAGGGGCATGGACAGGGTGAATAGACAAGGTCTTTTCCCTGGGGTGGGGAGTCAAAAAACTAGAGGACATAGGTTTAAGGTGAGAGGGGAAAGATTTGTAAGGGGCAACGTTTTAACGGAGAGGGTGGTGCATGTATGGAATGAGCTGCCAGAGGAAGTGGTGGAGGCTGATACAACACTTAAAAGATATCTGGAAGGTTTAGAGGGATATGGACCAAATGCTGGCAAATGGGACTAGATTTATCTGGGATATCTGGTCCGCATGGACAAGTTGGACTGAAAGGTATGTTTCCATGCTGTACATTTCTATGACTCTGTGTGTGAGAGAACTGCCTAGGAGCACATCTGAGAAGAAGCGAAACATTGCAGCTTTAAAAAAAAATATGTGCACCTTTGGCTATATAAATACAAATTAAGCATCATCTGCAGGCACCCCTGAAACATGGTTGGACAAGGCATATTTCTCTCTCCAGGTGACCAAAACAAAATGCAGAAACAAGAGGTTTGGGGCATCAGTCATTAAGAATTTGATTTTAGATTCAAGAGGTTACATGCAGAAGATATCAAGTACATAATTTATAATACCCAGAACCTGCTTGACACAACCAGGATTCACTGTTCCTCTGTTATTTCAGTACTCGTCTTGTTATTTCTAGTTACAAATCCAAAGTTAATTGATAGCTAAGGTTTGTTCTGTGTGTTTATATTGGCTGATGATTGCACAGTGTTACATTCCATTCACAGTTCCTCAAACAACAGAGCAGGTCATGTCCACATACAGCAAGACCTGGAAAACATTCAGATAATTGAAACGTAATGTTCACTAAAGTGCCAGTGCAGACTATTTCCAATGGGAGAATGTCTAGTCACTGCATGTATTCCATCACATTTCCAATCTTTCATCATCACTAAATAAAAAACCTGGAGTTGACTGATGGCAAATTCCTGCATTTACCCTGTCTAGTCTGTTAGGATTTCGTGGGTTGCTGTAAGACCACCGCGCCCCCCCCCCACCAACCAATTCTTGTAAACTCCAGTGAAATTTTTGTTTTATTCATTCGTGGGGTGTGGGTGTCACTGGCTAGACCAGCATCTATTGTTCAATTCCTGACTGATCCAAATTGTTTTCGTACGTCAAGCGGGCAGGGAATGGTAGAGGCTTCAATTCTCTTTGCATGACGTGGCTGGCCAGAAATCTCCCTGCCATTGGCGTCTGTTGGAAGGATTTTCAGATTTGGTACTCAATCTTGTCGCTGGAATTTTGAACACACCTTCTCTGGCCATCAGTTCCTGGAGTGGATGTGAATCCAGATCTTCTGCCTCGGACGCAGGGTTGCAAGGAGCTGCATCACAGGGCTACTGCAAATTGGATAAAGAACTCGATCAAGATTGCTCATGCATACCAAGGACATGTTTTTGTGGTAAACAGTTGAAAGTATTTTTTCAGTTAAGACAACAATTAGAGTTCTGAAGAAGGGTCACGCTAGAGTCAAACTGTTGACACTGTTTCTCTCTCCACAAATGCTGCCAGACCTGCTGAGTTTCTCCAGCATTCTCTGTGCTTATTTCAATTTCCAGCATCTGCAGTGTTTTGCCTTCATTCATGTGATTTATCACTTAATTATTGAATACTTAATAATTTTATATTTCTTATATTTTCATTTCTAAACATTAAAAATCTGAATTTTTGTAGCACTAAACAATAATTTGCACAGTCAAAATACAATCAATTGGACAAACAATTGTTTAATTGGATTTTGAGCCATCAAATGATTGACTTTTAGTTGGTTGGCTTGTTTTGTGAGCATTTCTTTAGGTTTTCCTCCCCTTCCTGAATAAAAAAATTTGTAGGACTGTTAGGTGGATATCTGCAGCTTTTGACTCCACCCACCTAAGAAATATTTCAATATAAGAGGCTTCACAATGAACATGAATGTATTGTTTGATTGCATTTAAGTCTGACCGTTGTCACCTTTCATAATCATCTTTCATAATTAGAACTCCCATTGAGGATTGCTGGATAGAGTCATACAGCACGGAAACAGACCCTTTGATCCAATCAGTCCATGCTAAACATAATCCGAAACAAAACTAGTACCACCTGCCTGCTCCTGGCCCATATCCTTCTAAACCTTTCCTATCTGTGTACTTAACTAAGTGTCTTCTAAATGTTGCAATTTTACTTGCATCTACCATTTCCTCAGGAAGTTCATTCCACATGCAAACCACTCTCTGTGCAAAACATTGACCTCTCATGTCTTTTTAAAATCTCTCTCCTCTCACCTTAAAAAATATGCCCCCTAATCTTGAAATTTCCCACCCTAGGGAAAAGACTCCTACCATTAATCCTATCTATACCCTTCATGATTTTATTAACCAATATCAGGTCACCTCTCAGCCTCCTACACTACAGTGGGAGAGGTCCCAGCCTATCCAGCATTTCTTTACAACTCAAACCCTCCAGACCTGGCAACATCCTCGTAAATCTCTTCTGAATCCTTATAATGATTACCACAGACAATTCTCTCTGATTTTTTTACACTATCTCACACTTCTGACAATTTACTGAGACCTCCTTCAACAAACCCATGAACGAGATCAGTTACATCCATCTGGCCAAGTTTATCAGAACTCATCCTTTCCTTGTTTGTGTGATTCAGTGTTGTGCAGTTAGTGCATTTACCTGGTCAGCAACTGAGGTAATCTAGTTTGTGAAGAAAATTTGTGTTTTGTTTTTATTTTGAGTCTAATAATCAGTTTTACAAAATGATTGCTTTTAAAAGCTGTGGTGCTGACAGCTTTGAATGTAAGCGCTCCCTAATGTATAGACCAGAGCTAAAGAAGCCAACCTGTACCAGCAGAAACTGTTGTTGAAATT